GCTTGAGAAAAATTGTAAATTTCCGAGGGGGTTCTTAAAAAATAGCGAATTGGGTCATTCCCCGACTGCATTCCAGGCCCCTCCCGCCAAAGATCTTTGGTGGGAAAAAACTTTACTGACTTTTGGCGGTGTATTTTGGCGTAAATTTTAGCTCATCACTATTTTTGGCGGCGTGCATTCTAGAAGAATGGCGGATACACAAGCTGCATGTATAAATGTGTTAATATACCAATGAATAATTAATGTTTGAATAATATTTCATTATTTTATTTAAATAAAGTACCTTTCTTTCTTAACTTCTTTATAACCTTTTCTACTTGCACTGTGCAATACAGCTTTAAAGTACTGACAATTGATTTGAATTAATGATATTACCCATACTTTCCTGCAACTTTTCCAAATATATAGTTGATTAAATATGCCTTCGGCCATTTAGTACTATGAAATTGTAAACAAATTGTAAATTTCGACTTACTAAAACGCTGTTTTCTGACCATCAGAATTCTATCAAATCTTCCCCAAAGTCCAGGAAATGGGATTTCAGAGGCTCGAAATTTAAAAATTTGCTCAATTGTTTTCAGCTCCACTCCCAATCAAAAACAACTTCCTACAGCATTATCAACATACAAATATTCAGCATTCCCATAATTATATTGTTTATGAACTGTCTGTCGAAGTTGTCAAATATATAAGATGAGATTTTTGCACCTTTTTTATTTTTTAAATTTTTTTAAAGATGTGATTTTTGCACCTTTGGTGCATGTAACTTGACCGCTTTAGATATAATTAGTCTTTGGCAGATATAGTTTTAAAGCTGAATTTCTGGTGTGAATCTTTGGCGGTGAGATAAGGTGGAATGCAGTCTGGTGTCATTCCAGAAAACATCCATACCACCCCCACAGAGGAAATAGGAAGTTAACCCCCCTACCCCCTTCGGATGTCCTAATACATTTACTATTATCAGAAACAATTTTTTCTCCCCTCCCTCTCCAGATGGCAGAAATTTTCTCCGTGTGGGGCAGGCCTCGAATTTCCCTGAAATCAATCGACGGCAATGGCGTTAAAAATTGCCGTAGAACGTAACAGCTGTCTACGACAATTTTGACAGTTTCCACGGCATTTTTCAAATTACTGTAATAAAACTTTAATTTTATTGTTACTTTGGATTTTTGACAAGCTAGAAACATGTCTACGTATTTCTTTAGTGTTTTTTTTCCGAAGAAAACTGAGACTAAAATAGTGATTTATGCATGATTTGATCAACATCTGAATTCAAGTATCAAAATAGTAATGCACAGTGAATAGTATAAAAATTGCACTATACGGCAAAAAATTGCCGTCGTTGCCACAATGATCCACGGCATTTTGTTCTCCCTCTACGGCAATTGCCGCGATAAAATTTGAGCCCTGGTGTGGGGAGTATGGATCTTTTCTGGAACAACCCATTTCCGAGGGTGGCTTACAGAAAACCGTTTCTGAAGGGGTCTAAAATCAGAAACCTCGTCAACAGGGGGTGTGGATATTAAATGGATGGCCCACTGGATGCTAGTAAAAACTTTTTAATAATTAGTTCATTTAGTTGTGTATTAATACGAAGTACTGGATACTAGATAAATAGTTCATTTAGTTGTATATTAATTAATCTGAAGTACTCTACTACTTGTGTTGCCACGCATAACATTGAATTGACTTTATCACCGGTACCCACCTCAGATAACGTCGATCGTTACCCTGTCGTATTTTGACCGCTAAAAGAGCTCAAAAGCAAAATGGCAGCTGAAATATGGTGTATAATCAATCAATTTATCTCAGAAATGCATTAAAATGCTGAGGCTTCAATTCAAAGTTATTCACTGTATTTGTACGTAATTGACCGGTATTTGACATGAAACGTCGCTTCAATACTTTAACCTTTGTTTTGGCCTCTATTAGTTGAAAATAATATAATACTGGCAAAAGTGCACGGCAAACATGAAATATTTAAACTTTGGTCTGTTTGGATGTAAATAGTCAAATTGCTACAAGATAATGTCGATTCTACGTAATGTGTGGCAACATGAATATGGACCTGGTCCCTTAGCGAGTTTGATTTGCTATTTGTATAAACAGACCCCAACCCCTTCTCTAACCCTTACCAATGAATGTGTAATGAACTATTGAGAGTTAAAAAAGTCAGGTGGGATTTTAAAATATTTTAAGAAAAATTTCTATGGGGCTGAATATGGAAGCTGGTTGGCCCGCCAGGAAGCAGGATGAATTTTGCTTGCGTTTATATGAGGAGATTTTATGCCGCTTGCCAGGCTAGGAATTGTTTACATTTCACTCAATTGGTTGGTGTTGCCAGAACAAATTTCAAATTTTGTAATCATTACAGCTATTGAAGCACATTGCAACCTTTTGTTTTGTCTTTTTTACCTATGTAATGTCAAGAACTATAAAAATAGTTGCAGAAAAGACTTCAAACTATCGAAAATGTTTCATCCCAGCAACCGGGCCATCCCATTTGCTAGTGTTTATATGGGGAAATTTTCACCCTGGTTATCCATATAAATGCACAGGAATTTTTACTATAAATTCTACTACACGGCGAGATCTTGCTAAGATGTAAGAAAAAAATACCTGTGGTTCCAGTTTCATATCGTGACAAAATTTATAGGGTCGGTAGATCGGAAATTTTTTTTGAATATTATTTTCATGGTTTTGGCGGTTTTTTGCTGGGTGATTTGCAGTAGAGTCCCGACATCAATATTAACTAGAGATGCGTATTTTCTATGGACGGATTTAGTCAATTTGGTTCAATAATTAGTGTGACAACAAACACCATTTTGGCACACTGTATGAGCAGCCCACAACCACCTGGAGAAAATACGGTCGCACGGTCAATTGTGCTGAAAAAATAATAGGGTCGGCAGAAAAAAATAGGGTCGGTCGGGAACCGGAACCACAGGTATTTTTTACGCCTAACCGGGCTGTCTTGCCAAGTGGGCCAGCCTGGCTCCAATATAAACAACCCCTAAATCAAACAGAAATCGCCAGCTAAAACAAAACCTGATCCCTGACCTTGTTTCACTTTGCATGCATGCAACGCCTTTGCTGAATACACTACCAGCCTGAATTGCTGAAAGCTATTGCAAAAAACTATTTTATATTACTACTTTACAAAATGTAAGAACCTGACACCATCCCTGTGACTTTGTGTCATCTATCTAGACAGTATGATTATTGTATGCGACTTTTCCAATCGAGAGATATATTAGACCCTCTTTCTACTTTTCTTTTCACTTTGCCTTGGTCACACTTTGAACAAGAGGTGTGCCAATTTCGCTTTCTCTCATCTCATTGTAGATGTCCGCCATTTTGAACTATTTTTTCATAAAAATGTATTTAAAATATTTACAACTTTTTTGTGTTGCATACGACTGTCATAAGCAAGTTGTAGGGCTATCTATACGGCACAATTTGTGTCGCAGGGATGGTGTCAACAAGTTGCATACAACAATCGTCATGGGCGTACGGGAAGGAAAAAATAAGGGGGTGGAAAGAAATTTGCCCGACTTTGTCGGATTGTGCCCGAGTTGTCAAAAAAAAATTTCCGGAGAAACTTTCCAAAATTGTTGTCGCTCCAATATTGTTTAGGTCCATTTTTTTAAGTATTTTATAAAGCGTATGCTATGTATGTGTATATGAAGCTAGTTTTGTTGGCATGTGGAAAGCAAAAGTAGCGAAGGTAAAGAGATTAAAATTGGATTTAGTGCGTATTTTTGAAAAAATTTTACCACCAAATATGGTAGTCCCCCCCGTCGATGACACTTGTGACGTCAGGTACATACGGGACTTTGGGGGCGGGTTTTGGCGGGAAAATCTGTAATGTTTGGAGAAGACAAGATGGCGCTGGTTACCTCGTGTTATATCAAAGGGCATTTTTGTTCACAAATACCCGCTTATTTTACGTTATAGCGACTGGTTCGTTTTGGAAATTATAACTCAATGGACGGGGAAAATGATTCTGTGTTAAAGAGAAAATGATGTGCAGTTATTGTGATGTTATTTGTTGTGAAAGACGGCCCGAAATTTCGCTACTTCGCAGTACTGGTTTATAAAACATTTACAAGCAACAGCAATTGAACTATATGACAAAGAAACCAATGTATACAAGCCAATCAAGTTCTTCAGTTTAAAGGTCTGTTTACTTTTTAATAATTAGTTCATTTAGTTGTACATTAATACGAAGTACTGGAACAGTACGCCTAGTCACAGAATAGGAAGGTATACCCATTGAACTAAAAATAACTGGAACGATACCTCCAGCCGGAAATGTGAAGCCATGCTCAGGCTTGTCCACTGTTGTCATGCCCAGTCTTTTCACGTAACGGAAATGAACGCGGGTTTTTTAAAGTGGCTCCTTAGGGTTTTATTTCCGGGGGTTGCGTTCTTCATATATATGTAAAGTAAACTTGTGTGACTTCAAAATACGAACGAACGTTATGTTTTATATGGAACTGTTTTTTGAAACAAAAGTGTGAACTTTGCTTTAGTTGAAAGCATAAAAGAGTTCTAAAAGCCAAAACGATAGTTGGATGTGATGTTTCAAAAGAAGATAATGTAAACTTTTTTTTTCAAGCGGTATTCTGGATGTTTTTTGAACCGCCGTACGCGAGGTTTGATCGCGAACATTGGGATATGATATAAAGTTTCCTCCAGAATTTGCAGTGTTTTCTCCACAATCTAGCAGCACTTAAAAAAATAAAAATGACTTAAATAATGAGCCCTCTACGGGTGAAATGAGAAGGGCCGAAACTCCAAACATACCGCTATAAAAACTGAAGTTTGAACGGGCATTTTGCGAAAACATCCGACGATAGTACTAACTCGCACGGGACCAATTTTGACAATCATTTTTCAAATTAATACCAAGAAGTCATAACCAGTAATTCCCTAAATATCTTTGCCATTTTTACATGTATAATCCACGCTTAGTTGACCATTAACCGACACAGTTATAAACAGTATATCGAACATAATTTATATTTTGTGATTTCAAAAAAGTCATGCCTTGTTGTTTTATGCAGAATGCATGTACACGTCAGTGTGGGTATTAAATTGTTCGCGTAAAAATCTAGTAAAAATTGCCAAAATTAAACCCAAATTTCTCAGTTTTCCTTCGGTAAAATTTTTTAAAACTTTGCACATTTTTTAATATTGGTACAACAAGTGCAATATCCTTTTTTCTTAAAATTAAATCGAAGGGAAAATTTTTAATATTGATTTTTGACGTTTTTTAAATTTTCTAAGAAACGTATCGATTTAATTTTTTGAAATTGAGGGGAAAAAATCATTATACAAGTATTATCTTCTATGCAAAGTTTTAAAAAATTTCACCAAAGGAACTTTTTAAAATGACCTGAAAAAGACAAATTTTGAGCTTTACTCTAAGCATGCTGTTGCCATGACAACATATTTTTAACACAAAAGTAGCAATTTGCAATGTTCAGGAGAACATTGTCAATGTGTCCAATAAATTTCGTTTTCATGTCATGTAAAGTAAAGTAAAGAAACAGGAGTCTCCTGAATACTAAAGTGTAGTAAATTAAAAAACCCTAGGGAGCCACCTTAAATTTCCAAAACTGGATAAAAAATGCACTAAAACATGATTTAAAATGACGTAAAATGCACCTACCAGTACATTTTTTACAATAAAAACATCCTTCAAAACTCTAGAGTAAAATATTTTTAATTTATTGGGTCGTTCCAGAAAAGATCCATATCCCCCCCACAGAGGAAATTTTTGCTGTCCGAAGGGGAGGGAAAATGTCTTTGGATGTCCGAAGGGGGGAGAGGAAAATGTCTTAGGATGTCCGAAGGGGGGGAGAGGGATGTGGATATGTTTGTCTGAAGGTTTGAGACTGTGATAAAGCTATGTGATCGGCGATTATAATGAGCACGCAATTTTTATCGGCTATACTGTATGTAGCTCTTGAACACCGGAACGTTTATGTAACAGCAATAATTATACGTCCACGTAACTCGTAAGCAAAATAAGCGGCCCACTTTTGCATGCATGGCCACCAAAAACTAACTCGCTGTAACAGCGTATCCTGCATGTTGAGAATGAGTTGAAAATTGACACGCTTTATTTATATAGTTTTTAAACTGTTGCTCGAATTAAGAGACTGCTATGTGAACTGAACTCAAAACAATTTGTTTTAGTATATAGTCAATAAAGCTTCCTTGCGAGGTGCGTGTCTAGAAAATAGAAATGGCTTTCAATTAAGGGCGAGGTTAAGGAATGCAGTAATACTAAAAAATGCATTAACATGTAAGTAAACACAGCAACGCTTGTCAATCAGTCGCAAGTTACATCGAATTTCAGTCCGAATTTTACTTGAACGAATTTCGAAGTGAATTTCTGCAAATTATCCGACAAAACCTGCCACGTGTTTGTGTTCGCAAGTCACAAGAAGCCGCCAAGTGTTCCGCCACGCCGGAGCTATTTGAAAACAGCGTAGAAAAGTCACAATAAGCCATCGCTAATTCACTCTACGCTGGAGCGAAATCGTTTGAAAACTTTCACGTCACTTTTGCCGTAACAATTTGAGCACGGTTTCTAAACGGAGCGAGGTGAAACGGCGGAGCGCTTGATAGCTTCGTGTGAACACAAACGTGTAAACTCGAATGCTTTTCAGTTAAATTTCTTGGGTCTACTTGAAATATTTTGGGTTTACACGAGTGCTAATTCAATTTGTAAACAAACTGTAATGGCTTCATAGTCTGAACACACGTAAATTCTGCCTGCATTAGTTCGCTTGCGCGTAGTGTGAACGCAGTCTAATTTTCGATGACGTTTTCAAACGGCAAGGTAGCCTTTAGGAAAATTTAGAAATAGTGGATGTCCGAAGGGGAGGGGGGTAATTTTGGGCTTTGATGTCCGGAGAGGGGGGAGGATGAACCATTCAAGGATGTCCGAAGGGGGGAGGGGGTTATTTTCGATTTCCTCCGTAGGGGGGGTATGGATCTTTTCTGGAACGACCCA